CTTCCTCATTCCAGACTTGGTCTTCTGGGTCAGGTAATCTATCAATGTCCATCATAGTAGGAGAAAGAGAAGCTCTATTCTACTCCCCAAACTTCTGGAAGTGTCCTAGCAGTGGGCAGCCGCCACTGATGCAACAATGATATGGATCCAGCAGGTATAATACAGCCAACTGGTCAACCAGATAGACCTGACCCTGGTACAACAACACAGCATAGTCTCCCTACAGAACCAGACAGATTCTCAGGCTACAGTGGTCCTCCAATGCCACAGATGACCAGAATTAATGATTGTCAAAATGCAAGGCATCTGTGCCTTTCGAGAGGAAGATTGCTGTTTATATGAAAACCAGTTCTCCCTACTATGGGAAAATGTAAAACAATTTTTAGAAGGAAAAACAGAAAAAGTGTAGACAATATTTTCTGGAAGAATACCTAGACTGCTCGGGGACCGTGGACTGCCCCCTTGGTTGGCTCAGTCTTTGTGATTGTACTAACTTTACTCTTTGGCTCCTGCTCTTTTACCTGTCCGAGTTCCTCCAGTGAAGCCTACAACTTTCTCCACTCAGAGGGCCACAGAATTCTTCATGGCTGAAAGCTGCCAGATTATATCCAACCTGGAAGCCTGCTCAACTTGCCCCCTCTGCCTTTGCAACAGTGCCTAGCAGGAAGCAACCACTCCCAAACTACGACCCCTTCCCTTTTTCCTTTTACCCTTCCAGAGTTGGGACTTGTTGGGTAATAGCCAGCGGCCATGAGGAATTGAGTCAGGCTGTATTGTGTGATAACTTTGGGCCATGAATAATTACTTAACCCCAGCCTGAACTTTCTGCTCCACCTGCAAAAACAATATTCCTGGGTAGAGAAAACAAATCACCCTGCTCCTATTAAAAATAGCTGTAACTTCTGATAGCTCTCGTGTATGTCCCTTAGCTCCCTAAGTGTGTTCAGCCTTCATCCTGAGGAAAGGTTGTGGCCCCTCATAGATCCAATAAAGTCTGAGTCTGTTAAGATGGGATCTGTCTGTTTTCTGCCTCACTTTTTCTTTTTTTCAAGACATGATTTTTCTGGGTAGCCCTGGGTGTCCCAGAACTTGCTTTATAGATAGACCAGGCTGGCCTTGAACTCACAGAGATCTTCTGCCTCTGCCTCCCAATAGCTGAAATTAAAGGTGTGCACCACCACCACCTGGTGAAACACATATCCCCTCCTTCTTTCCTTTGCCCTTTGTGTGTGTGTGTATGCAGATAGATAGATAGATAGACAGACAGATAAAGTTTGTGTGTACTATTGTAACATGAGGGGGCTTGCTTCTTGGGGTTTTTGTCTCGCTCGGTACCCTAGTCGGCAAGTCCCAAAGAAAATCACACAGAGATCTCTGTAAGTTATAAAACTGATTGGCCCATTAGCTCAGTCTTATTAGCTCTTATAGTTTATATTAACCCATTATTCTTCTCTATGCTAGCCACACAGCTTGGTACCTTTTTTCAGCGGGGCAGCTTACATCTTGTTTTTTTTGGAGTTTGGGCAGGAGTGGGAGGAATGGGCTTCCTCCTTTTTAGAATTTTCCTGTTCTCATCGCCCTGCCTCTACTTCCTGTCTGGTTGAACTACCTATACTTCCTGCCTGGCCTATCAGCGTTTATTCAAAATATGATTGACAGAATACAGATAATTCTCCCGCACCATACTATGTCTATGTGTGTATATGTATGTGAATGTATGTTTGTGTCTGTGTGTGAATGTATATGTCTCTGTGTGTGTAGATATATGTGTGAATGTATGTGTGTGCTGCATTTAATTAGAATTGCTTGCATGAGCATGGGTGGAAGGTTATTTATCCAAACAAGAGCAACTTACCAGTGACTATACCGTTGAGGAACATAGTGCTCTTTCCCCTAGCAACCGTTAACTGCCTATAGCTCTTCAGGAAGGGAGAGAGGTTAATGAAGCGCCATCTCCATTGTCAGGACATAATGGGGACAGTCTTATGTAGGTCTTGCAGCCACACTGTGCTCAGTTTTATTATTTTTGAAGACAAGATGTTTGTATGAATTCTGATGATTGGTTTCAAATTCATGAAGTCACATGCTCCTTTTGCCTCAGCCCCCAGAATCGCTAGGATAGCAAGCACACTTCTGAACACTGGGTACAAGTACTTATTTCTTCATTTATTTGAGGTAGGGTCTCGAATTCAGTGTAACTTCTGAGAATCCTGCCTCCATCCTCCAAGTGCTGGGATTGCAGACTGTGTGCCAGCACTTCCAGTTTTATGTAGTGCTGGGAACGAACCCAGGCCTCATTCATGCTAGACAAGCACTCTACCAACCGAGTCACACCTTAGTCCTGCAAGTCTTCTTCTGTTTAAACAAGGTATCACTATGTAGCCCTGGCTGGCCTGGAACTCACTATATAGGTCAGGCTAGCCTTTTACTCAAAGATTCACCTGCCTCTGCCTCCTGAGTGTGTGCTACCACCACCCTTAAGTTTTATTTTTAATGTCATTAAAATGTCATTAAAATGTGCTTCTCTGTGCAGAAAATAGCATTTAGAAAAATTAAGTCACATGTAAATAATATTGTTTTTGTAGATTTGTTTCCTGACAGAACAAATCATCCAAGAGGCTAAAATAGTCAACTTATGACAGCAACCCTTTAATTCACCTTCCTGATGCTTTCCCACAGTGTACTGTCTACAAAGCATCCAAAATGACCTATTTAAAGTTTAAGGAAGTTGGCATCTTTCATCTGTTCAAAACCCTTCACTTTTCTCATAACTTTAAAAATAAAAGCAACGCTTACAAGGCTCTGGGTGACCTCATTCCTGAATCACTCTGAGGTATGAATCTCTGCACCTTCTTTCCTCCCTTCTCTTCAGCCACACTGGCCTCCACTGTTCACTTGAGCAGCAAGCACACTCCTACCTCAGCCAAACCCTCTGCCTTGGCAACATGTCCTAAGCTTAGTGTTTGGTGTCCCCCCCCCCCCCACTTACTTCTGGGCAGTGGTTCTCAACCTGTGGGTCACAAACCCTTTGGGTAAGAGTTGGCTTTGGGTCTGGAAGGAAGGCTCAGCACTGAAGAGCATATGCTGCTCCTGCAGAGGACCTGGTTTCGGTTCCTAGCATTCACAAAGCGAGGCAGACATCTGGACCATAATAGGAGGAATTCTGAGTATCACTCAAATTCCAGAAACTACAGGGCTGCCTGTGAATTAAAACGGACTTTCTGCTCTATTGTTGTGAGGAGACACCATGATCTAGGCAACATGAAGAGAAAAGCATTTAATTAGGTGCTTGGTTAAAATTTTGGAGGATTAGTCCAAGGTTGTCAAGGTGGGAAGTAGACAGGCGTGGCACTGGAAAAAAAAGCTGAGAGCTTTATGTCCTGATCCACTGGCAGCAAGTAGAAATAGACACCAGGTCTAGAGTGGCCTTTTGAAATTCCAAACTCCCAAGGACACATCCCCAATAAACTCATACCTTCTCATCCTTCCCAAACAGTTCCACCCCTTGGGCACAAAGCATTCAAATATATGAACCTATGGGGGCTGTTCTCATTCAAACTGCCACAGTCAGTAAGAAGTAGGCCTGTCATTTGAATCCAGAGGAATAATTCTCTGTGTTCATCCCATTTGCCACCAATCTGCAATATTTGACCTGAGCACAAAGCCGCCTATTTGGCTAATATTTGGAAAGAGGAGACAAACGTGGAATCACTTCTACTTCTTAACAGTCTTGACACTGCCATTCTGTAATCTGCTTTAAAGTCTTATAAGATTGTATTTTAAAGGTATTTCCACCAATTTGACTCTTTTATTTGAATAATTTTGTAGCATAAATTCTGATGGTAATAAACCTTTTGTTTTCCTCTTTGGGATATTTTGATTATATATAGTAACTCTAAATTGATTAAGTACCCCATGGGAAGCATTTACTTCAATGTTTTTGATGTGTTTTGCAAAGGCATAATTCCAGGTTGGCCTCAACAATCCATCCTTCTTCTTCCTCCTGAGTTTTGGGAAGCCCAGTCTGGACACTTAGTAGGCAGTCAAGTGGCTGAGGTCAGAAAGGTATATAGCAATCCCATTTTCTGCTAAGAGTCTTGCAGGAAACTGTGAAGCCCAACTCCTGAATAGGAATTCTACGAGGTTTCTTAACGAATGATTTTTAAATCCTGAACCACACGCCTAACAGTGTTTCATTTTTCTTTTTATAAAATCGCCACCGCAACACCGCAGACTTAGAAATCTTGTAAAGATGATTCATGACATTTATATATCTTACTTAATACAAAGACTGGAACTCATTAAAAAATACGAACCCCGGCGTCGCCTTTAACACATTTCCCAACCCCTAGGAACTTCAAAGAATCGTGGCCGGCTTTCGGCTCTTCTAGTAACGGAAGTAAAGCGTTAAGAGCTGGAAAGGAATTCTGAGAAAAAGCAGCTTCGGCCGCCAGCGGCCTTAAGCCAGCAGCCGGCGCCGCGGCGGAACCTCAATGTCACCCGGAGTAAGCGGGGACGACGGGCGGAGGAGCGCGGCGAGCAGGGCACACGCGTGGCCACCGTCTCACGCAGGCCACCCGGGCCGCAGACGCTGAGACCTGAGCCACCGCCGGGACGTGGCCAAACCACACCCCTCCGGGCTGGCCGTCCCGAGCCAGCCGCGGCCTAGGAGGAGCGAGGGACTCCAGGAATCCGCGGAAGGGCGGGGCCAAGGGACGCGGGGGTCTCTCTAGCCGCGGCCTCGAACCAGCGCTCCTTGTTCTCGATGGTAGCCGTGCGCCCCTCTCCGGCGCGCCACTTCCGGTTCCCTTTAAAGGCCCGCGCGGCGCGCCGGAGGAGCGTGAGAGCGAGCAGGGAAAGGGAACGAGAGGGGCGGGCCCGCGAGGGGAGGGGGCGGCGGGTGGGTGGGGACTCGCGGTGGAAGGGGCGGAGGAGGCGCGAAGGGCGCGCTCCGGCGTCACGTGACCGGGACGCGCCGTTCTTCCGTCGGCCATTTTAGGTGGTCCGCGGCGGCGCCATTAAAGCGAGGAGGAGGCGAGAGTGGCCGCCGCTGCGCCTTCATCGTTTTCCAGCGCGGCCGGCGGGGGAAGAGTGCGAGTGCGCGCCGCGCGAGAGCGGGAGGCGAGGGGGGCAGGCCGGGGACGAGGCGCCGGAGCCCTTGCAGCCACGCGCGCGCCTTGTCTTGTGTGCCTCGCGAGGTAGAGCGGACGCGCGGCGGCGGCGGGGATCACTTTGCTGCTAGTTTCGGTTCGCGGCGGCGGCGGTGGGTGTCGTCTCGGCGGCGGCGGCAGCAGCGCTATGTCGGAGGAGCAGTTCGGAGGGGACGGGGCGGCGGCGGCGGCCACGGCGGCGGTAGGCAGCTCGGCGGGCGAGCAGGAGGGAGCCATGGTGGCGGCGGCGGCGGCGGCGCCGGGGGCAGCGGCGGCGGGAAGCGGGAGCGGCGGCGGCTCCGCGGCCGGAGGCACCGAGGGAGGCAGCGCCGAGGCCGAGGGGGCGAAGATCGACGCCAGTAAGAACGAGGAGGATGAAGGGTGAGTAAGGGGCGGCCCCGGGCAGCCGCTCGCCAGGCCCCCTCCCCCTCCCCGCCATTAGGCCTCGCTCCCGCGCCCGCCCGCAGGCCCGAGTGCCACGGCCTGCTCGCCCGGTCGCCCCTCTTGTACCTGCGGCTCCCCGGGGCCTGCATTTCCTCCTTCCCTGCCTGCTCGCCCCCTCCCCCATCACACACGTTTCCACCTTTAGCCGTCACCATGCTACTCCGCGGCCCGCCCTCTTTCCTCCCTCGCCGTGGGTCTCCTCCCACCGTCTTAGCCGCCAGGATTTTTTCCCGCCTGACGGAGCTACCCCTCCACCCCCCGCCATCTCTCCCGGATTTCTAACCTCTTAGGCTTACAAATGCAAACGCACAGAATGCTTTTTACTAGGCTTTCTGAGGTTGGGTGGGTGCTTCACCACCACCCCGAGACGGCGCGATTATTTATCCGCTCTTGCTTTCAGGAAGGTGTAGGCTGTCCACCTCTCTTTCTCCCGCGTCGGCTTCAGGCCAGTGGTTTTTAGCATTTTAAATAAGTTTCGCCTTAGGACGCGTTCGTTCTGTCCACTGTACGCCGACCCCACGGCACGCTCACACCAGGCCCTGCATTTGTGCTGTAGACAGACTGGGCCTGCTGATGCCCCCGGTCTCCTTCCTGATGGCGCGTTGGTCTGGCTCCTCGGGCTCCATTTAAGTCCTTGTGGTCGATGGGGCCTGCACTTGACTGGGGCTCTTCTACCTCCTGCCTGCGGTTGCCCTTCCCCCATTCTGCCAAGTTACTCTGCTGTGCACCCTTTTCGCGCCTTCAGGGTTGCCTATTTGTACAGATTGTAGTCTTTCCTTACTTACTCTGTGCAACTTAAAATTTTCTCTCCCGCCTTTTCAGTGCCCAGGAGCCTGTTTTGGTTTCTTCTCAGTCTCGCCCTCTTACTATTGTTGAAAGAAGCCCACTCGCCCTTTAAAATACAATAAATTCTGTGTTGTTCAATGGGTTAATTTTTCAGGATTTTTTTCAGTGCTAATCTGCTTCCTCTAATTGAAGTAACTTTTGTCTTGCCACCAAAAGCTGCTTTTAATATGTTAAAACACAGGAGGTTAGGAAGGTGGGATGGATCCGGGTCCTTAGATTTTCATGTTCCCATTACAGATTGCTGATCTTGAGTTACCGTTTCGATACTTTTTTTAATAATGGGGCTGTGCGTATGCAATTTTTTTACACTATATAAAGAAAAAGTTTCCGTGGGAAGTAAAAATAAGTCATTTAAGCCTGGTATTAGCAAACATGATTTCCTTTAGTGGTTAAAAGTTTCAGATTTGTAGGGGTGTTGGGGCATCAGAGAAGTACTTGTAATATAGTTTTTAAAAATCTCAGTCAAGACTGACACTCTTCAGTCAGCTACTGGTTGTACTGGCTTTAGTGGGGAATTGGTGGGAGGGGAAGTGAGTTTAAACAGAACGAATCTTGAATAGTAATGTGGCTTAGTTTTAGAAAAGGAATAACTGTTAATTATTTGAAGAATTAAGTTTTTAACATTTTGGGTTTTGCTTTCTGAATTCTGTTCTTTGGACAGAGGCACCAAAATGGTTAATTGTGTAACTGGGGCAGGCTTTCTATTACCCCTGAGTTTTGAAAGTTACAAAGTAGCTAGCTGTCTATGTAGTTATTTCTTGTTGAACTGACTTATAAATGAATTAGTTTTTAACCCTAACAATGTCAAAAACTAAAACTAGAATTTTGATTGGTTGCTGTACCGGTTGTTAATTCCCTAGCCATTCAAACTCCTCCCCACGACACACTGAAGCAGCGACGGCACAGCGGGAAGAATGGTAAAACTTTTAAATTTTATTTCTGTCTTATAAAGATTTCAGTAGTCATAACATGCAGAGGCTCTATAATTTAGTTGCCCATTTAGCCCCAGGAGATTTTTTAGACATTAATACACTAGGATGAGTCTTGTGCCTGGGCTATAAAGACTTTCTAGATATCCTAAGTAATCTGTGGGCAAAATTGATGCCATTGCGTGGTATATGGTTTGTGGTAATGCATGATATGACAATTTGACCAACCTAAACTAAATGTAATTAGTAATTTTTCTTTTAAATATGGGCAAGCAGAAAAGTTACTGTACTTCATTTAGTTTTTATTAGGTTGAAATAGTTTTTGTTTAAATTCTAAGCTTAAAGCTAAATATAAAGGTTACTTGATTAAAAATATTGTGTGTTGAAATGTCTTGCATGTTATACTGAAGTAGTCTGTCAAATAGACAGTTCCTTAAGTATATTACTGTGCTTTATGCAAAGTCCTATATCTTCACCAGCAATATAAACACTTTAAGCATTGATTGTATTATACATAGGTGGGCTAAATGTGGCTTTCCCACTACAGCTCTTACCAGATCTTTTATTTTCAGTGTGATTTGGCTGGAATGTTAATTACAGTTGGTTGACATGTGTTCACATTTGCATGACTTCCCTTTGGAGGCTGGTAGGTTGAGTATTCTTTTTATCCCACTTCTCCCTCCTAAAATGTCAGTCTCTGCCCTCAGGCTCATATTTTAATTTTCTTGGGCTGTGTCTCTCACCATTGGAGGTTAAAAAGCCAGTACACCGCCTTATGTCTGTCTTTATAGACCATGTCTATTATTTTGGAAATACTAAATTTTATATGGGGTTTATTTTTTAACTATTCTCATCTACTCATAACTGCCCAGTTTTAAGTTGGAGGTAAAGTAGACTAACGTGCGAAAGACTGGGTGGGGTCTGAATGAGACATAGTAAATAATGATGTTTGGATGAACCTTATATTTTGGTGCCTGCTGGGTGTAGTTAGTTAACTAGGTAATAATGTCAAATTAAAATTTAACTACATTCGTCTTCTCTTTGAACCTTATGTAATTGTTAATTGTGTGTAGTAAGTTGTATTGATCTTTAGATTTGAAGGTCATTGTTTTCACTGTTAAAAGAATTATCTTTGCTCCTTTGTTCAGTAGCAAATATGTGTAGAGCTTTCTGTGGTCATTTGGAGAAAGTTGGGTAACTTTTGTCAGTGTTACAGAGCATTTCATGTGATGGCCAGTTCTCCACTGGCAGACTTTGAGGTGGTAGGTTTTTCAGAAACACTTGGAAGGCATTCTTACCCTCCAACCCTTTTTCTGGAGACAGTCTCACTATGTTGCCCAGGCTTAGGAGGCTTGTTTCTTCACTTCGCAAGTCTCTTTCTTGGACTAGAGGTGTGTTGCCCCTATGTGGCCAGGTTCTCCTTCTATCCTCTTCACCCATCCCTCCTTTCTCTAAGTTGACTTGATAATTGTACATTTATCCAACTCCATTTTGTTGCAGATGCTAAACTTTCTGAACAAAACAATCAAGATGCTTAAACATTACATTTTTGGTGCCCGTGTATATATCCTGTGTTTCTCTGTCTTCCTCACCAGTGTATATAGTTATTTAAATAATAGTTTCTATAGTGAAGATGAGACTGGTTAGTAGGCTAAAAATCATGTAAAGTTCATTTCTTAAACACTGCTGTGTGCAGTTCCTGTTAAAATGAGATTTTGTCCTGAAATACTATTTTTGAGACATGGTCTATGTGCTTAGACTGGCCTTTACCTAGTATTCATGTCTCCATCTGTGGTAGGGGCTGTAGGTAGGTGCCATTCACTGTTCCTGCTTTTCCTCCTAAAATATTTTTAAAGATGAATTCATTATTTGATGTGGTTAATTCCTTTGCATGTGAAAATGAATAGTTATTTTTAGAAGAGTCTCCTTATTTCACAGGGATTTGGCAACAGTGGTTTATTACCATAGTAAAATGGCTGAGTTCACCTTTAAGATTGTTTTTGATGTTAGATTTGTTTGTGTACCAGTGCTTATGTGGAAATCAAAGGAAACTGGTGAGAGTCTGTCCTCATTTTATAATGTGGGTCCTGAGGATTGAACTCTGGTCTCAGACACAGCAGCAAGTACCTTTACCTTTTGAGCTATCTTGTTAGCCACTTTAATATCTACAACTTTATATATATATAAATGCGGTGTGTAAAATCACTCTGCAGTGTCTCAGTTCTTGGGGTAGGTGGTGTCTGGGGAAATGTGCATGTGCATGCCATGTTGTAAGCTATGGGGACAGTTTTCAAAATGTAAAGACTGTTGGGAACCTGGAATACTATAGACAATGTTACCAGATTAGATACATTGGAGGTGGGGTTGAGTGAGAAATAGAACAGTTTGACTGAGTTGTCAGTATAGACGTGTCACGGTGTTGTTACCATTAGTGTGAGAGCTTGAGTGGGATTCTTCTTAGAGGTCCTTAGTTCTCTCCTTTTTGAGAAGGGACTCCCACGTGTTTTTGTTTGGAATGTTGGAGGATATGTTAGAAACCCCAGTGTTTCTGGGACAGTTTGAACATTGTTTGAAAAACCAGTATTTTTAGATTCGTCTCATGCCAGATTTACTGGCCTTTTGATTTAGTAAGATTGGATTTACAGGCCTGGACTGTAAGTAGGTGTGTCTCCGTGTTTACTCGCTTTGGAACCTTTGCAGGGGTAAAATTGTAGAAACTGAAGCTCCAAATTTAGGGGAGCAACATTCAGTGTTTTCCTCGTCCATAATGGAGATGGAACTGTGTGGGCGAATGTTCCGTTCCTGAGCCATGCTCCCATCTAGGAGTAGTAGGCTCATTCGTCGTCTGTTAGGAGACACGGAATATACAGGCCTGGGGTTAGACTGCATTGTCAGTTACAGTTTCAGTCCGTTGTTTTTCAAGACAGGATCTCACTTTTTAGCCCAGGCTGGTCTAAAAATCACCAGACTCCTCACACTCAGCCTCCTAGGATCTGAGATAATAGGCATGGAGTGCTATTTGGCAAATGCTTGTTTTTGAGGCGGTGTCTTAAATTTGGACAAGTTCTTGAGCTGAAGTGACACCTTGTATACATGCATATGTAGTCTCAGTAATTTAGCCTGGGTAGTCTGAGGTATAGAAGACATCTCATATGTACCTCTATAGTTAGATTGTTAGATTGTGTATGTATGTCCCTCACAGTCCATTTTGCTGTGACTTAAGGCCACCAGGAAAGATAACTGATGATCTTTAGCTTTAGGTGATGTTAGAAGCCATGCCTGAGAACATAAGAAAACAAACAGAATGACTCTCCCATTTCACTTAGGGCTGTATGCTTCGAATGTGCATGTTAACAAATGGAGTGATGCAGAACTGGTTAGTTGTTTGATTTGATGTAGCTGTGCTTTGGGGTTATAGTAGATGGGACACCAAACTGACGCAGGAGGCCTGGGATTTGTTTCTGTTACTTAACAACAGTGTGGTCTCAGGTAATGGAACACGTTTTTACTTGGTTTTCTGATCTATTTGCTGGAAACAATGCTCACCATAGGAAGACTGACTACGCAGCCTACTTTCATGTCTTGTGTGTATTTATCCATTGCTCTAATAGTTGCTACTGCCAGTGATTTACTCCTGTGGAGTAAAGGTAAGCATATTTTAGTTTCTGGAGTGTGAAATAGTATGTTCATGCTATGTACTTAAGTATTTTAGGGTGGGGGAAGACTTTGTATTGGCATATTTGTCCAGTAGTCATAGTGATAGCTTTTAAGTATTGGGTTCTGTACTGAAATACTTACTTATCTATTTTGGCCATCAAAATAAATGATGAATGAATGAGTAAATAATGAGTTAGGAAACCCCCCTTCTGTCTCCACTGTAGTCTTAAGAGACAGAGGAAAGTGTCAGCAGATACACTGAACAAGCCACCAGTAAACAAATGTCTTTGAAATGAGCTTTAGATTTTCATTACGTTAAAAAGTAATGTGATTCTGAAAGATGGTAGGGGTTGGTGATTTGGCTTGATGTCAGAAAACTTACCTTTAATCTTGGGTTAAAAAAGTAAACATCCATTTCTGCTTTATTAGTGTTATCTAAATTAATACCTAGTAGAAAACTTCTAAGATTATGAATAGGTAGTGGCCTCAGTTAACTCAAACCTTAACCTCTATGTTAAGGAAACACCAGTCTGTAACTTGTGGGTAAGTGGAAGTTTACTTTATAAGGTTGGAAGTTTATTTACAGTGTTGAACAGTGTGGTAGAGATACTGGGTTAAGCTTTTAAGGTTTCTTTTTAAAAGCTGTCTTGTTTAATTTAGATGTTATGCCTGTTTTCCTTTCTTTTTCTTTTTGACACAGGATCTTACAATGTAGCCCTTGCTGGCATGGAACTCACATATAGACCAGCTGGCCTTGAACTCTTGTAGATCCACCTTTCTCTCTGCCATCTGAGCGCTAGGAAGAGGTTTTCTTTTTTTAAAAAATATTTATTTATTTATTTATTATGTATACAATATTCTGTCTGTGTATGCCTGCAGGCCAGAAGAGGGCACCAGACCCCATTACAGATGGTTGTGAGCCACCATGTGGTTGCTGGGAATTGAACTCAGGACCTTTGGAAGAGCAGGCAATGCTCTTAACCAATGAGCCATCTCTCCAGCCCCTCTAGTTATCTTTCTTATGGTAGTTGATGTGGGTTCCTTGTGGAGTAATGAGATTTAATATAAAATAATTTAAAATCATTCTTTGAAATGTTTGCTCTTACTATGTATGTGTCAGTCTTGAATACTAGGATACTTTTTCACACTTGACTTTAAAATACCATAATATAAAAATCTTATGGAGGAATTACCTGTTTAATAATGGGCAGATAATGTTGAGATGTAGGTTTTACTGATTAAATAGTTTTCTTCACTAGCTAACTTTAATGCAGTTTTAAATAGTTTCAAAGTATTTTTCAAGTGCTGTAAACCACATCAGATATGTCTTG